ATCAACAACTTTATTAATCCCAAAGAGCAATTCAGTTGGCACATCTCTGGTTATGCACAATATATAAATATAAAGAAAAAGAAAAAGAAAGACAGACACCAGACGTTCAAACCACAGAGCATCAGGGACACAGTAACAAATTCACTTTCCGTTTAAAATCCTTACAGCAGAAGGAATAATAGATTTGGTGTAACGGTTGGTCTTTTGCTGTGGGGTGACATAGCGCCTCCCAGAGGACATTTTCATGAACTGTGAGTGCAGAACATGGTCTGGCTCAGTTTGGCCTTAGTCTTTTGTAACACTCGATGTCTCCACACAGACGCCAAATCCTCCGTCTGAACACCACTGATTTTGCTGCAAACTTTTACAATCTGGTTCAGACTGTTCTTGTCTTTCACAGATAATCCATAAAACCAACAGATAAAAGAAAAGGTCAGCAAACTTTCAATAAAAGAATGATCAGAATTATTTAAAATATTAGACGATACATTAAAAGAGCTGAGCTGAACCCGCCGCTGTCCTCGTTTGACGATGTGCTCAGTGTTCTTATCGAACCTTAAAGAGGAATCAAACACAGTTCCCAAGTACTTATAAGAGTCGACCATTTCTATGGCTTCTTCATGGATGGAACTGGCTATTGGGCTGTGGACTTTTTTCTGGAAATCTACAACCATTTCTTTGGTTTTGGCTACATTTAGGTCCAGGTGGTTTTTAATCACACCGTTCAATGAAAGCAGGTAGAGCTCGGCCCTGGTCAGAGTTTGCTCCCTGCAGGAGAGAGAGGACTAACAAAGATGAGTTAAAAACATTAAAACGAGTTAAAAACATTAAAACACGAGACCAGAGACTGCCGGGTCGCACCGCTGTGGAGCGCCCCCCACAGTTTGTGTGTTAAACGTGTGAATGAAACAAAACTCCGCTCAGGTCTGTTTGTGAGGAGGAAGTAAAACGAGCTCTTTAAAAAGCAGCACGTTTCCCGAGAATCCTGTAAACTTCTGAATATATTTGGGTTCAGTCAAGTGATAACGGAGGAAACAGGGTCAGATTTTTGACATTCAAATGTCTCTTATTCAGAAACTAGAGGAACTATTGAAATAAGTAAAGTATCAGAATGTAGGAAAGAGTTACACTTCCAACAGGGTCAAGTTAAACCTGTGAGATTCTTTCAAGTTCAAGACAAAAAATTAAAAAAACTCATGTCGGTAACGGAGGGAATGAAATATGCAGCACTTTTTGGTCAATAAATCCAAACAGTGATAACTCTTGGTTCTCACTTCCATATCCTTAACAAACTGGTTTGAATATTTGCTTCATATAGTTTTGGGTAACACTTTATAATATAACTACACCTTATTTAGCCTTAATAAAGCATGAACAAAGACTTAATTAATAATGAACAGACTTAATTAATAATGATTCACGCTTAGTAACTACTTAATTACTTCCTTAATTATCACTTGCACTTCATTTGCCTGTTCTGTAAATAGTTACTCATAATTATTTCATACTTAATTACTCATGAACTAACCATCTGAGCATTTATTAATGATTAGTAAACTATGAGAGAATGATTTACTAATAATGAAATGATCATTCACGCAGCTGTTATCTGTTCGTTAAGTCTTTCTGAGTTTTTTCTAAAGTGAAGACTAATTATGCTTTATTAAGAATTTACTAAGTGTGAATCATTATTAATTAAGTCTTTGTTCATGCTTTATTAAGGCTAAGTAAGGTGTAGTTATTATAAAGTGTTACATAGTTTTCTACCATATGGTACAAGATTAGGTTGAAAACCTTTTACAGATGATGATTTTACATGAACCTGTCGAGGGACTGAAGATGGAAATGAGCCACGTTGGCTCTAATCTTTACATATTTACATTTTTTATGTTCATTAATATGTACTGTCCCTTTACAAATAAATAAAATAAGAAATAAGAAACTATTTCTATAAAATATGTCAGTCCTTCCAAGCAAATTTTTATTATCATTTTTAAATTGTTTTTTTTTTTTTTGGAAAATCATGAATCTTCATCAACAGTTCAAAGATGGAATAACACAAGATATGATGAAATACAAACATTTATTTACATGATTTTCAGGTTTTTGAAATTTGGGAAATAATTTTTGTTCCATGTTTCATACATGGTCTGTTTAAAAAACATTTGGAACTTTAGAACCAAAAATGGAACAGAAAAAAAAGGTCAACAGTTTGATAAACTAGAGTAAATATGTATCTGTTCAATACAAGTAAAAAAACAAAAAAAAAAACAGAATACTTTTTACTTTCAGGGACATTTGATGATAAAATCGCAGCATTTCCTGACTTGATAATGGGCAGAATGATGGAGAGAGGAGCGACAGGTCCAGTGGGAAACCAAGAGGAGATGTGAAAATACTCCTAAAATTGACTTTTGTGAGTTTTTAATTCTGTTCTGCCGGTGTTTCCTCTTCGTCAGTTTGCTCAGGTTTGGAGTGAGTCGTTTAATCCTGTTTTGTCCCAAATCTGAGGCTGGACCAGATGTTTCCTGCGACAGATTCTCAAACTCAGGCTGTTTCATGTTAAATACGACACACAAGATTGTCGTTTTTAAAAAAATATTTCATTTTGTGCTTTTTTACGGTGATATATTCTGTAAAAGTGACTCGTGTGTGTGTTTCCTCGTCACAAACACACCTGCAGTTGTGTTTGTTTCATTCACATTTGAGTAAATCTTTATTATGAGTCTGTTTACATCACCAGTGCTCTGTTCCACCTCGTGATGTCATGAAGTGGTCGTTATTCCAGGCCAAATCTGCAAATGTCCCGCTCGACCATCTCAGATTTGACTGAAAAAATTCTAGGAGCTTCACAAATTTTACAGGAAAAGTCCCAATTTTTATCTCCCAACTTCTTATATTTAATTAAAAATATTTAGTCGACTTCCCCCTGAGCTGTTTTGAGCAGAGTTTTTTCCAAGGAGCCACTTTCAGATTTCTGTGTCTAAAAAACTTTACACAGTCAAAGACGCCAAAACCAAACTGAAAAAAAACAACAAAAAAAACGATAATGATTCATTTTTTTCAGGTTTTGATTTTGTTTATAAAATAATGGGAAAAAAAAGATAAAGGACTGAATCAAGACTGAGACGTTTTCAGTCCTGGTTTAGTCTTGGTCTGGTCCCGGTCTCAGTCCTGGTCCCGGTCTGGTCTCGGATTCAGTCCTGGTCTGGTCCCGGTCTGAGTCCTGGTCTCAATCACGGTCTGGTCCTGGTCTGGTCCTGGTCTAGTCCCGGTCTAGTCCCGGCCTAAATCCCGATCTGGTCCTGGTCTCAGTCCTGGTCCTGTTCCCATTCTCAGTCCCAGTCTAGTCCCGATCTGGTCCCGGTCTCAGTTCCGATCTCAGTTCCGATCTCAGTCCTGGTCTCGGTCTAGTCCCGGCCTCAGTCCCGATCTGGTCCCGGTCACAGTCCTGGTCTCAGTTCTGGTCTTGGTCTGGTCCCGGTCTCAGTCTCAGTCTCAGTCTCAGTCCGGGTCTTGTCCCGGTTTCAGTCTTGGTCCTGGTCTGGTCCCCGGTTGCAGTCCTGTTCCCGGTCTCAGTCCTGGTCCCGGTCTGGTCTCGGATTCAGTCCTGGTCTGGTCCCGGGCTGAGTCCTGGTCTCAGTCATGGTCTCAATCACGGTCTGGTCCTGGTCTAGTCCCGGTCTTGTCCCGGCCTCAGTCCCGATCTGGTCCTGGTCCTGTTCCCGGTCTCAGTCCCAGTCTAGTCCCGATCTGGTCCCGGTCTCAGTCCCGGTCTCAGTCCTGGTCTCAGTCCTGGGTCTCGGTCTAGTCCCGGCCTCAGTCCCGATCTGGTCCCGGTCACAGTCCTGGTATCAGTTCTGGTCTTGGTCTTGGTCTGGTCCCGGTCTTAGTCTCAGTCTCAGTCCCGGTCTGGTACCGGACTCAGTCCTGGTCTGGTCCTGGTCTCAGTCCCAGTCTCAGTTCTGGTCCTGGTCTCGATCTGGTCCCGGTCTAGTCCCGGCATCAGTCCCGATCTGGTCCCAGTCTCAGTCCTGGTCTCAGTTCTGGTCCTGGTCTTGGTCTGGTCCTGGTCTTTTAACTCTGTTTTATAAGCTATGTTTAATTTTTTTTTTTTTTGTTTTTTTTTTGTTTTGTTTTGTTTTGTTTATTATTATATAGATATATTTTTCATATTTATTGTGCTGTATTTTACAATCTTATTGTCATGTGAAGCACTTTGGGCAGCTTGTGTGTTGTAAATGTGCTCAGTTGACATCTTGACATTGGTCTCAGTCTCAGTCTCAGTCCTGGTCCTGATCCCGGTCTCAGTCCCGATCTAGTCCTGGTCTAGTACCGGACTCAGTCCCTGTCTGGTTCTGGTCTGGTTCCGGACCTGTTTTAGTCCTGGTTCAGTCCTGGTTTAGTCCTTTATCCTTTTTTTTTTTTTTCCATTTTTCATTTAAAACACAAAATCGAAAACTGAAAAACTGAATCATTATCTTTTTTTTTTTTTTTTTTTTTTTTTTTTTTTTAGACAAATAATGAAGAAAATAGTTTTTTTCATTTTCTTATTTTTGGTTTTATTTTGAAAAAACAAATGAATGAACGACACATGGATTTTCAAAGTTCACAAAGTCTATCTGGTTTAACAGAACTTAAATTTTCAGCTCGTGTTCGTCTCCTCACGTGTCTCTTCTCCACAGACAGTAACTTCTTCTTTCTTTATTGTTTTTTACAGACAGTAACTTCTTCTTTCTTTATTGTTTTTTTTTACAGACAGTAACTTCTTTTTTTTTTTTCTTTTTCTTTTTTTTTTTTTTTTTTTACAGACAGTAACTTCTTTTTTTTTTTTTTTTTTTTTTTTACAGACAGTAACTTCTTCTTTCTTTCTTTATTGTTTTTTTACAGACAGTAACTTCTTCTTTCTTTCTTTTATTTTTTTTTACAGACAGTAACTTCTTCTTTCTTTATTGTTTTTTACAGACAGTAACTTCTTCTTTCTTTATTGTTTTTTACAGACAGTAACTTCATCCTGGCGAACGCGCAGGTGTCTCAGGGCTTCCCCATCGTCTACTGCTCCGATGGCTTCTGCGAGCTCACCGGTTTCTCTCGGGGCGAGGTCATGCAGAAGAGCTGCGCCTGCAAGTTCCTCTACGGCCCCGAGTCCAGCGAGGGAATCATCCTCAGCATCGACCAGGCCCTGGAGGAACGCAAGGAGTTCAAGGACGAGATCGTGTTCTACAAGAAGACAGGTGAGAGGCCGGTCTGCGCCTGCGGGGGGCGCTCTGGGCTCTGGAGGAAACTCGGACATATCAGCTCTTTGTACACTGTGTTTTCTGGGGGTTTTTACGGACACCGGGACGACTCATAACAAACACAACGACACAAATACAAACACCACAACAAACAAAAAAAACATCACAACAAACCAAACACAAACACAAACTCCACGACACAAATACAAGTAAGTCTTTATTTATAGAGCATTTTCACAGACACAGCATCATCCAGCATCATTCACTCTACACCTGCTGATGGTAAGATACTGTTGTAGCCACAGCTGCCCTGGGGCACACTGACAGAAGCACGGCTGCTCAGGCCCTCAGGCCCTCAGACCCTCAGACCCTCAGACCCTCATCAAACTTTCATACAAGACACACAGTGATTGAACTGACTGTATTTTAACTGACCTTGACTATCAACTGTTCTGGACCTGGAGCATGTTTTGGGTTGATGGGAGAAACCGGAGGAAACTCATCCAGACACGAGGAGAAACATGCAAACTCCACACAAAAAGGATCGAACCCAGAACCTTCTTGCTGTGAGGCATGAGTGCTAAACACTCAGCCACCGTGCGGCCAAATACAAACACCACAAGAAACCAAAAAAAAAAAGATAAATGATATGATGATAAAAATGTTCTTGGAAGGACTGACATATTTTATAGAAATAGTTTCCTTTCATTTTGAAGTAATATTAAAGTTTTCAGAAGAAAAAAGCAACAAATGATGTAAAATCCTGCACCTTCTACTTGTTTGTACAATTTTCCCTCCGTTACTTTTCCCTCCGTTACCATGAACTTTCTTAATAAAAAATCTCATGAGTCAAAAAGTCAGAGGTTTTTCAACCTAATCTTGTACCATATGGTAGAAAACTATATGAAGCAAATATTCAAACCAGTTTGTTAAGGATATGGAAGTGAGAACCAAGAGTTATCACTGTTTGGATTTATTGACCAAAAAAGTGCTGCATATTTCATTCCCTCCGTTACCGACATGAGTTTTTTAAATTTTTTGTCTTGAACTTGAAAGAATCTCACAGGTTTAACTTGACCCTGTTGGAGTGTAACTCTTTCCTACATTCTGATACTTTACTTATTTCAATAGTTCCTCTAGTTTCTGAATAAGAGACATTTGAATGTCAAAAATCTGACCCTGTTTCCTCTGTTAACACTTGACTGAACCCAACTGTGATGATGAACTGAACCAGCGACTCATGGGGACCAGGGTGATGTTTCTGATTGTTCTTGTTTAAACTGTTTTCCACAACATCGTCACATGACGACGTCACGAACCCAGAGAATCAGAAGGAACGAGCCACAGTGACACAGTGTCCAATCAGGACGAGACTCCAGCTCGAACTCGTGGAGCTGGAGGCACCAGATCGTTCAGACTCTGGAGACGTTTAATATCCAAAACCAAAACCTCTCCAGTACGAGTGTGGACGGGGCAGTAGTGAGGGTCTGAAACTCAAGTTCGCCCAAATTTCTAAGTCCACCAGGGCAGAGACGGGAGGCCATTTCTCAATATGAAGCGTTTTGGAGCCAGAGTCGACGGAGCCAGAACCGCGCCCACGTTCACTTCCTGTTTGGAACGCGAGCAGGTCGGTCACGTCCATTTCTCAGAACAGATGTACATTTAAAGTTTCATGCGGCTGAAGTGTAGCGACGGTAACTGATGACTCCAGAATGGACTTTTAATGGGAGCGTGGGACATTTTTCAGCTCGTCACATCAGCGGAGGAGAGAAGGATGGAGCCGCTGACCCAGTTTCAGAGTGAAGAGAGAGAAGAGAGGAGAGGACTCGTCTGGCAAAGTCCGGGTCTAACGGGGAAGAAGGAGACGAGGACACGAGGACACGAGGACACGAGGACACGACGAGGACACGAGGACACGAGGAGACGAGGACACGAGGAGACGAGGAGACGAGGACACGAGGACGACGAGGACAAGACGAGGACACGAGGAGACGAGGAGACGAGAGACAAGGAGACGAGGACACGAGGACACGAGGAGACGAGGACACGAGAGACGAGGACAACGAGCAGACGACGAGGACACGAGGAGACGAGGACACGAGGAGACACGAGGACACGAGGAGACGAGACACGAGAGACGAGGAGACGAGGACACGAAGGACACGAGGACACGAGCAGACGAGGACACAAGGACACGAGGAGAGACAGACTCAGGTCCAGAGTGACTCAAAATGTGTGAAGAACGGATAGAAAATAGAATCTCAAACAGAAGAGGAAGAGAATCTGTGTGTCGTTCATTCATTTGTTTTTCAAAAATAAGAAAATGAAAAAAGAAAAAAAAACAATTTTATTCATTATTTGTCTCTAAAACCAAAATGAAAAAAAAACACAAAAAAAACAGTTAATGATTCATTTTTCAGTTTTCAATTTTGTGTTTAAATGAAAAATGAAAAAAAAAAACAAAAACGGATAACAGACGGAACCAGGACTGATCCAGGTCTGGGACCAGACTGGAACCGAGAGCAGACCAAGACTGAGAGTGAGACCAGACGGGGACCAGAGCGGGCCTGAGACCAGGACTAGACCAGGATCAGACCGGGACTGAGACCAGGACTGAGACCGGGACTGAGACCGAGACAAGGCCAAGACCAAACTGGGACCAGACCAGGACCAGACCAGAGGCTCAGAGCCCACAGCAGGGCCAGAGCTCGAAACTGAGGCTCGGACCCTGCGGACGATCAGACTCAAAGCTCTGGTCCCGCTCTGGTCCCGGACCTGGATCCGTCCTGGTTCAGTCCGGCGTCACTGTCACAGAAGTCACGTAAACGGGAAACATTTAACATTTTCTTATTTTTGGTTTTATATTGAAAAACAAATGAACGAATGACACACGGATTGTAGAGGAGAAATACATTGTTCTCAAGTAAAAGAAACGTTACCTGAAAATATAAATAAATATATATATTTATTTATTTACTTATTACTCTTTAAAAAAAATAAAATAAAAAAATAATAATAATATATTAATTGTTTTTCTCTGAGACGTCTGCATTATGTGGACAAAAAAGAAAAATTCATCAGCACAGTGGTGTAATTTTGAAATCCTTTGGCGAGTTACTATGAAGTTTTACTCAAGTAACAGTACTGTTACTTCAACACAAATATTACTAAAGTAGGAGTAAAAGTATGCTGCTGGAAAAGTACAAAAGTTCATATCCATCTCTGCAAATACATACAGTCCTATGATTATTTCTACATTATTATTATTATTACTAGTTGTTTTAAGTTCATTTTAACTCGTGTTTGTAGCTTTATATTAAAAAAACATTTGTGCTGACGTCACACACCTGCTGACGTCACACACCTGCTGACGTCACACACCTGTGCACACACTGGACTCACCTGTGGGCGGGGCTGAGCACACAGGACGTACAAAAGCAGAAAGTTGAGTCCTTCTCGAGGCGTCAGTGCACAGTGTGTGTGGTGTTTAATTTAAGGGACGTGTTTTCTGTTTAACCGAGGTAAGAGTTTATTTTGTTATTAGTTTTTTTGTGTAGTTTTATATAATCCGTTTCTTTTAATACATTTTGTGGAAAAAGACTCTTTCTGTTGTAAATCTTCCTCCTGCTTCGCCCACATGAGACCAGCTCCCCACAGTCACTCTGAACTTTACTGTGACGTCTCCAAAAGGTAAAAGTGCTGAAGCCGAGAACTCGCTGTTGTATAACTAGAACTGAGTATCATTAAGACGTTACCAATACGATACATACCTCGACCACAGGCCACGATACGATACATGTCTCAATACAGTGCACTTTCGATTCAATACAATATATTTCAAATCGATTTGATACGGTTCAATAAAAAAATAAAGTCTAAATTGTGCTTGTGACACTAAAAACGTTTGTTAAATCACTTCTTGTGCAAAGTTCAAATGAAACACAAACATTTTACTCATCGAAACAGTGAAAATGTCAAATGTGTCGCTTAAACGAGTTTCCTTCTTCTAAACAAACATCAAAACTGTAGCTCTGTAACAAAATGATTCAGTAAAATACACAAAAAATACCCTTGGCGATAGATCGATACAGGAGCCCACAAAATCAATACCGTATCATCACGTCAAATGATACGATATATTGATATTTCAATATTTTTGCACACCCCGATCTATAACCCTGATCTACATTTACACCGTCCAGATCTGAGCTGCTGCGAGATCATGTGGACGTCTGGACGTGTGTCAGTCTCATCTGCCTGTCGTTGGTTTGTTTCTGTGCTTCATGTTCTTTCCTGAAACACTCTTCTCAGTTGGAGCTTTTATTTACTTTTATTTATTTATTTCTCTTTGTAAGAGTTAGTTAGTCACAGTAAAATGTGAAAGCAGCAGTGACGGAATCGGACTGTGGCGTCTGTGTCATTTAAAACATTTCAATGGAAACTAAAAAGAGAAACTCTGGTGTTGCTGCGTCTGAAATATGTGAATAAAACCAGTGATGCACAAACGGCTTCCACCCATTCATCCATGTTCCTCTTCTTATCTGGGGCCGGGTCTAAGCAGAGACTGTCAGCTCCCAGGCCCAGAGACACAGTCCCTCCAGAGTCAGAACAGACGTCCTCCCCTCAGCCGCTCGTCTTCAGGTGGAGGAGCAGCGGCTCTACTCCGAGCTCCTCACTCTGTTTCTAAGGGAGACGCCCGGACGCCCTGTGGAGGAAACTCATTTGTGTATCGTCGTATCGTTGATCTGGTCCTTTCAGTCATTACCCAGAGCTCATGACCAGAGGTGAGGTTATAAAATATATCTTGATGATAAATAATGAATCTATTTGCAAAACCAGATGAGATTTTGGAATATAGACCGAGGTTTATTCTTACAGCAGATACAGAGCCTAGACCTGCCCAGCCTCTCGTCCAGCAGCACGTCCCTGCTCCATCCTTCCAGAGTCTCTCCCCCAGACCTTCTGAGCTCTGAGTTTATCATCGCTCCCGCGCCACC